GCCGGGTCGTGGGAACACAGTCTGATCTTCTTCAGCTTTCATCCTGCAGAGAACCTGACCTCAGATCACCTGAAATAATTTAATATCACCCTAAAAATATAAAGTGGCTGATTGATGTGTGTGTTTTACCTCCTTGTAGATCCTGGAGTTGTTGCAGTCGAATCAGAACGGACGTCAGCGCAGCGGCAGCGGAGTGGATGTGAGTCTGATCTGCTCTCTTGTTTCAAGTAAACTTGAAGAGTCAGAGGTCACAGGGTCCAGACCTGATGACCACCAGATATTCATGTGACCATAAAATGATCAGCAGCTGCTAGAAATACTGTTTAAGGATAACTGATACTTTTTAAACTTTATTTTCCCATGTTTTTGAGTCGAACTGGTGAATGAGAACAACAATTTTTGAAACTGGCCCAGTGTTCAGCGAGAGCGCTGCAGGCAGCAGCCACGAAACAGGCTGCAGTGTGACCACTCAGGGGTATTTGTGCACTGTCAGTGTTTGTTTTTGCCACTGACAGGCTCAGATTGTTACTCTCAGTGTCTGATAACATTATGAAAGGATCCCTACAGAGTGAGACCTGTTTGTTAAAGAGTAAGATCCTTTTTGTCTCACAGGAAACAGCCACAAAATCACCAGCAGAAGCTTAAAAACTATTTCTCCTCCTCCTATATCTGTGTACATGAGATGTGACTACTGTGCTCTATGTGTGATGAATGTTTGGTCAACGTTTGATGTATTGTTATTTATTTATATATTTCTGAAATGCCATGTGTGACCTGCTGCAACCCAATTTCCCTACAGGGACAAATAAAGACTACTACTACTATCACCAAACCCACCAGACTCCATTTAAATAAACACTAATTTTATCATCATAAAACACACTTCATTCAGACTGACTAAGAGCAGCTTGGTTTGTCTTTCTACTGTTCCAACAATCACCAACTCTGGTTTGGTTAAAATAAACTCTTAATTCACCCGGTTAGATGTGAAAATGTTCTGGCTTTATACATGCTAAAATTAGTTTATTTAAATGGAGTCTGGTGGGTTTGGCGATGGAGATTTTGGGGCTGTTTCTGAGCCTGTCAGTGGCAAAAACAAACACTTTTAGTGGATGCAAATTGACAGTGCAAACATGCTGCAGCCCTCGCACTAAATACTGGACCACATTCAAAAACGGTTGTTTCTTTTAGTCACTGAGACACAAAACATGGGAAAATAGGGTCCAGGTAAAGAAAAAATATTGAAGTTAACCTTTAAATCTAGAAATTCTTGACTCCTTTCTGCAAAAGAAATTTCTCCCTTTGGATAACAAAGTTTTCTACCACTATAACTACTACTTCATCCAAAGGTCCCATTTTTTATCAAGTATTTTAGCGGCAAAGCTTGTTAAAGGTTTGCCTAGAAAAAGTTTTGATGTACAAGTGTTTTGTGTGAGTACGAAGGATCTGAATACTTCCTCCATCACTGTTTGTAATAAGTGACTTTTGTTATATAATACAGTAAAAAAGTGGAATGTCAGGATCAGATAGAATAGAAATGGAAATTGTCATTGTACAAGTATACAACAACAAAATTAGGAGCGCTACTCCTGATCAGTGCAAAATAAAGACACAAAAACACCTTCAGCTGACAACACAGGTTCTAAAATAAGAAGCAAAATAAATACATTTTTATTGCACAAGTATAAATGTAATTATTGCAGTAGTATGAATGTAATATTGCAAACATACAGCAGAGCAGCATGTAAACTGAAACAAACCATTTCCTTTTATGAAAAACAAGTTGCTTAGTAATATTTTTAAATGATTTCTAATCTGAAAAACACTCATAAAATACAGACCTTAGATTAATTCTGATCTCTGTTTCCTCAGAACTGAAAATACTGTAATTTTTTTTAATCTAGCATTTATGCAAAAATTGTGTTTGCATATGAAAATGTATTTTTGCACCTGTAGTTGGTTTTGAGTTCAGATTGAGTGGATAAAACCTGCACTGATACATATTTGTTTTTCCTCAGTCTCCCAGTCGCTCCCCTCTGGCCTCAGACTGCAGCAGCCGTCGCTCCTCCATCTCCAGCACCTCCTCTCTGGGCTCCGAGGCCAAACCAGAGGGAGAGCGGGTCCGACACAGAGAGGTAACAGACCACAAAACACCTGATGCACAGAAAAGCAGAAGCAGTTTAGTGAATTACATTTAGCTGTGGCTGTTTCCATGGTGACTGACGCTGTGTGTGTGTTTGTGTGATTGACAGGTGGAGAAGCTGCTGCGTGCCGTGGCAGACGGTGATGTGGAGATGGTGAGAACAAAGTTGAAACAGTCGCATTTTCTCCATCTTAACATCCTGTGGACTCGTTAATCAGTGCTGGTTCTGTGTGTGTGTGTTCAGGTGCGTTACCTGTTGGAGTGGATGGATGAGGAAGAGGACGAAGGAGAGTTTCGGTCTGAGGCCCTGCTCTGCCACCCACTGTGTCAGTGTCCAACCTGCGCTCCCACTCAGAAGGTAACGTCACAGAGACCAAATCTAAACCAGAGACACCCAGGAGACAGTTTATTAATCTGACACTCTGTGTGTCCTCTGTGTGTGTCCTCTGTGTGTGTCCTTTGTGTGTGTCCTCTGTGTGTCCTGCAGCTGTCAGTCATGCAGGCCGGAACTCTCGGGGTTAACAGCTGTAACACTGACGGTTTCACGCCGCTCCACGTCGCCGCCCTGCACGGACACTCTGCGCTGGCCGCCCTGCTGATCCGCCACGGAGCCAGCGTCAACGCCCGCACCAACCAGAGCGCCACACCGCTTCACCTGGCCAGCCAGAACAGCCACATCCAGGTAGGGGCGAGGTGTACAAATATAAATAGTTCATGAGCAAGTTATAGTCATGAGGAGCGGTAATATTTTCTAATACAGTGGTGGAAAAAAGTTTTCGGACACCCTTAAAATTTTACACAATCTCAAATATTCTCATGAAATATTTGTGGAAAAATCTTTTTTGTGTTTCAAAAGGTGTGGCTGCATTAGACAGATACAAACAAATACAAATTATATTTTTTTGTTTATTGTTCACAAGAAAAACTAACAAAACTAAATTCTTGACAGTTTCAATATGTCAGTTCTCAACATTGTCGGTATCAAAGTCAACAAATAACAGAGAATGTGTTCAAAACCGAACAAAAAATAAATAAACCATCACATCATCAAATTAATATTTAGTAGTCCTGCAATTGGCACGTAGTAGAGCTCTAATCCTGGCTGGCATGTTCCCCAAGAGCCTTTCACACTGTTGAGGGGTAATCTTGTCCCATTCTTCTTGAATTACTGCTTTTAATTCTTCTAAATTCTTTGGTTTATGCTTTGAAACAGACCTTTTGATAATCCACCACAGATTTTCAATGGGGCTCATGTCCGGGGATTGAGCTGGCCACTCTAAAACCTGGATACTGTGCTCCTGCAGCTTCTACTGGCCTTGGATGTGTGGCAAGGGACATTATCTTGTTGAAACATCCAGTTTTTACCTCGACGGAACAGTGCACGCGCAGAAGGGAGCATGTGGGTTTCGAGAATGGTACAATACTTGGTAGAATTCAATGTGCCATCACAGACAGTGAGATGACCAACACCAGCAGCACTCATGCATCCCCAAACCATGATACTGCCTCCACCATGCTTGACAGTAGGTACTGTACATGCTGGAGATAATGCTTCGCCTGGCCTTCTGCGTACCCTCACATTAGTAGGAGGAAGATAAAGCTGGAAACTGGACTCATCTGACCACAAAATCTTCTTCCAATTCCTGGCTGTCCAGTTCTTGTGTGCCTGGGCCCAACGACACCAGGCTAACCTCTGTCTCTCATTGATCAGGGGCTTCTTGATAGCCTTGTAGGACCTTAAACCATGATCTAAAAGTTGGCCACGTACAGTGCGGGTGGAACACTGGACACCAGTTTGGTTTGACCACTGCTGCTGAAGCTCCTGTGATGTCATTCGGTGGTTTTGCCTGCACATGCGGATCAGGATGCGGTCATTTCTTGCTGAAGAAACCCTTGGACGCCCAGATCTTGGTTTGTCTTCCAAGCTGTTGGTTCGTCTGTATTTCTGCAGAGTGTATCCAACTGCTGAAGGACTGCATCTGCACTTCCTGGCTATCTGGCGGCAGCTGTACCCTTCCTGGCTGAGAATCTTTATCTTCAGGCGTGTTTCCTGCGTTAGGTTCCTTGTTTTAGCCATTTTTGTGTCTGAAGAACTTTCAAATGTGCTGGATTTATGTAGACACGAAGCTTGGCAACAAAAATTGTGTCTTTTAATAAAAAGAACGACCTTCATCACTGGTACCAAAATGACCCAATGCTCAAAATTTCTTATGTATTTTTATGAAACCAATCAATTTTAAGTTTTTAATGGCTTTTTTAGGATTTATTTAGTATTTTGGCTGTGACTGTACTAAAAGAAAGTGCACTTGAAGACTAAGAGTGATTCTTAATGCAATATTTCACAAATGCATGGGGTGTCCGAAAACTTTTTTCCACCACTGTATACATCATCATGTGTGTGTTTCATTGTGTGTGTGGAGAAATTATTAGCAAAAAAAAAAAGTCATCAACACTTTCTTAGTCATTATAAGACATGAACTTCTCACAGTATTCGTTCATGTTGTCTCACTTTTTTAAAGGAGATTAATTATTAAAGAAGTTGTTAATAATTACCTCTGTTTTGTTTTTCTAAAACGTAATACAGAATGTTAATAAGAATTCAGAAACAGTGCTTTCTGAGGCAGCAGGTTCCCTGATAGAGGTGACAGTGCTGTGTTAACCTCTTGTGTCATGCTAGTGATGAAAATAATTTTTTTTTACAGTGGCTTGTTAATAAGAAGTGGGTCAACAGCAACATGATTTATCTCTACAGTCAGGAACTCTGCTTCAGGCTTTAACAAGGCTCACGGGTGCCACCCTGTGGCAAAAAGGCAGCACTGCAGAAAAAAAGATTTAAAGGGGCATTATCTCATTAGATATGCGCTAATGTGCATATATTTTAGGAAGATAAATCTGAACATCTGATAAAGCCAGGTGCAAAAATTCTATTTTCATTTTGTTTACATATGAGATGAAAAAAAATTACAGAGGGATTTAAGGATATCTGCTTTCATTACCTAGAAAATCAAAATATACTATAGTATAATATAATATACTGTCCGTAGCCTTAAAAATCGATTTTCGCCATATTTTTGGGAATAAAATGTCACTTAAATCAGGGTAGGAATGATTTATTAACAAATCCCTATGTAAATATCTTCAGAATATAGCTAGGTGTATAACTGGAGAGTTTGGTGTACATAGTACACCACAGCTACAGAGGCTGAGATGCTCGACTTGGAGTATGACAAAAAACTCATTTTGAGAAAACAGCATTGGCCGTAGTGCCAATCCAGGTGTGCTGTGGGATTTTGTGGTCACCACACATTATTTTTGCATCATTCAACTGGGTTTGTGGAAAAAGTTATGAATGAATTTTAACTGACTGTTTCAGTATGTTGTGTGCACCCATTTCCTAATAAAAAGGGTAAACGCTACTGCAAAATATTTAATTTAATTTAATTTTTTTAAAAATCACAGGGAACCCATATGTCACCGTTCAGGTGATGAAATTATAAGTGTGTGACATATCACATTGTCTTACATGATTTTCTGTTTAATTATATAACTTATTGGTGCTTTGGTGTCATTTTAAAAAGTTTAAAATTAACTCTTGAGTTGTTTTGTTAGTAAATATTTCACGAGTAATGATTGGTTGTCAATTGTTATTTGATATTCGTAAATAAAAACAAACATTTATGTTGTGATAAGAGTAATAACACATGGTATAGAGGCTGTTGTGCACGGATATAAATACAGGAGTGCCTTGAGATTTTGGCCCCAGCACAAAAAGTTTGAAAACCACTGCACTAAAGCAACAAATGTGGATTAATCCGCCACTGAAAATAGTCCCCAACAAATCACTGTTTCCTCCTGTTAGATAAAAACTACAGTAGGCAGCTGTTTTAGGTAATTACTGATGAAACTATAGATTTGTGTTTTTAAAGATTTACGTCTTCAGTAGGAACTGACGGGCTTGGGACTGAGAGCCACTGACAGGAAGTCAAAAAGTCTTAAGAGACGGACTATCATGTTGGTTTGGGTCATGAGATTATAGGATAACACCAGCCTTAAATGAAACAAGAAAGATTTTTACAGTATATTATTTATAATTTACTCAGAGAAATGAAACGTAATGGTTGTTATGAGTCATACCGACAGTCTGACTGAAATGTTTTGACTGAAGCATAAAACAAATATGCCACTTTATTATAAAATAATCAGCATGTGAAGTGAAGTGTGTTCGTGTCCTCCGTGTGTTTTAGGTGATGAGGTTTCTGCTTGAGTGCAACGCCAAACTGAACAAGAAGGATCACTATGGCAACACACCTCTGATACAGGCCTGTCTCTGTGGAAACCTGGAGACAGTCACCACCTTGTTACAGGTAAACACTGACGACACTTTCACACATTCACCACCTGATTTAACATGTTGGACGTATTCAGATCCTTTAATTCAGTAAAAGCTCTGACACCACTCTGTGAAGTGCAGTCTGGGCTGGTTGTACAAAACACCTTAGGTTTTTCCTCAGAGTCCCAGTTAAGGTTTCCTTCATAATAAAACTGGTTGCACAAAACACTCTTAAGTCTTCTCCTCGAGGTTTCCTTAAAATGTGCACTTAACGATTTAAGTATTTCTCATTATCTTGGTCTTGTACTAAAAGAATTGCTTAAAGGGGAAGATCCATTTTTTACAACCTGGACCTTATTTCTGGCATTAAATACGGTTGTCTACTCACCCAGATAAGTTTGGTGTCATTAGGTCAGTATAAATGACCCGGATGATGATGACAAGCAACTCTAGTGTTTCATAAAAACATATTGGTGAAATGAACGAGTTTCGCGGCAGATAATGTGTTATTTAGAGCCTCATTGTCGCTGCCCCGATCACTCCAACTATATGGATGTACGTGGCTCTCGTGGATCTAAATATCTTCTGAAGGACTCCAAATGACACCAAACTTACCTGGGTGAGTAAACAACCGTATTTAATGCCAGAAATAAGGTCCAGGTTGTAAAAAACGGAACTTCCCCTTTAAAGTTTGTTTACCGTTGAACCTTATTAGTCAAAGTAAGGACAAAAGAACTACATCTTAACTGCATCATGACTGAGTTGATAGAGATAAATGATTTAAAAAAAAAAAGCTTTGCAGGAAGAGTGTTCTGTGACCAGAAGAACCAGATGGACATGCTTAATGATGAGGAAATGATTTTGAGCCATACATTTAACTGGAAGTAAATTTATGATTGTGACCGTCTAGTTTTGGATCACTCACCTTTCCAAAGCTGCGCTCTTCTGGTTTCTTTACAAATAAGGGTTGCTCTGAGGTTTTATGCAACGGGATCTTTCCAATCAGTGACTGGCAAGGTATTTCATTTGAGCTTAAGTGTCATACTTCAAGAGAAAACGTAGGGTGTTTTGCGCAAGCAGTCCCTACATCCTAAACCTTACTTATGTAAAACTATTATCACCAAAATGTACTGAAAGTGGAAGTATGTTTAGTGCAGTAAAATATTCCCTGTCAGTGTTTTCCTTCTATCTGATGTTTTTGGATTAATGTTCCTGCTGCATGAATGTGTGTGTGTGTGTCATTTTACTGCTGGAGATGTTTCAGGTTGTGCTCATTTTAGCTCCTTTATATACTGTTGGGTAGTTTAATCTACAGCAATGCACCATATATCTCTGTATATGCATTTTCCAGCTGATCTAAGAGGGCTTTTAAAGAGTTTATTTAGCCCTAGAAGGAGGAGAATTTTCTCAACACATATAGGAACACTTCATCCTTCAGTTTATCACAAACATTCATCGTCAACACAGCTTGGAGATACATGGTTTTCACTGGACAGGAATGGGATGATAAACTCTTAAATACCTTAATACCTTAAATTCTCCCTTAAGAAACGTACTCGTCACTTTAACAGCTTAATGAGTTGTGTATTGTGTGTCCATGCAGAGTAACGCGTTGGTGAATGTGGTGAACCTTCAGGGGAACACGGCCCTCCATGAGGCGGTGCGGGGTGGACACCAGGCGCTGGTGGAGATGCTGCTGAGGGGTGGAGCCTGTCCTGGCGTCAGGAACAAGAGGCAGAGGACACCACTTGACTGCGCCTATGAACTGGGTGGCAAGGTGGCGTTACACACACGACGGGACACTGAAGCTTATTTTACTAAACTGTTATGTCTAATTTGTAAAATGTGAACTGTCTTTAGACGAGTTTGTCGCATTTAAGAGGCCAAAAGAAGTGTGTCAGGGCGGACATGAGCTGTCAGATTATTTTATCACTTTGTTATTTTTATAATTTCCGCACTCCTGCCATGGAATCCAGGGAAATGAGATGCAGTATCATTTTCAAGATCTTTATAGATAGATCTTTTGTGCTGCTGGGGGGAAGATTTGTGTGAAGCATCTATGTTTCCACAGACATGGATGTAAACTGTAAGAGAAACTTGATTGGTGGCGGAGGCACACAACCTCAGGGCGGTAATTCCCTATTCCTTATTCGTCTGAAATGAGTCAGAATCAAACAATTCATAATGAAGAATTGGCAGTGATGAAAATCAGAATAAAAATATGAGCAGTAAAACTAATTTTTAACATTTTCCTCTGCAGAACACGGAGATCCTGAGAGCTCTGCAGAAAGCATCTGGACTTTCTCCTGATGCTGAACCAATCAAACTCCTCTCTGTGCCCAAAGGAGCTCTGGGTAATTATATCAGAATTAATTCATTCATGTTGTCCACTCTGCCTCTAAGAGATAAAAGCTTGAAACAAAACAACTAATGCCTGCTGAAATTTCATTTGTTCTTATCAGATGTTTTGTCTTCAAGAGTCACTCCATTAATTTTGTAGCAAAACTCATGTGATCAGACTCTGTCAGTAATTACTGAGGACTTAATTTCCCTCTTGTCGCTGCAGCTCATTCGTTCGTCCAGCGTCTGCGGCTGCAGGATCACGCCAATGGCAGGAAACAGAAGCTGGCTCAGTCCATCAGCAGGTAGCCTCTCAATGAGCTTCAGCTCCCACACAAACCCGTAACAACATTAAAGTCATAGTGTAAACTCTGTTCTTTGATTCAGGATCCAGCAGATGAAGAAAGGATCCTGTGCTCCTCCCTCCAGGTGTTCAGCAAACCTGAACCAGGTACACATCTGCACATGCTCACCGTCTGTTTTTAGCCATGCTAACGGGCTCATCATCCTCAGAGGAATAATCCGATTGACTCTAGTGATTCCTGACTTTTCCTGTACCCTCTTACCCTTCTTTGTCTTGTAGAAAAATGTGAAAGATCGAGTTGTTTTTTTCCACCTGGATCTGTACACTCTCCTATTTTAACCTGCATTTATTTTAACAGGCTTATAATGACTATCGCACATTCTCGCATACTACGTTTTTATGCCTCTGAGCCAGTGATAGCCGTGGCCAGAGGTTGTCCGTCAGTCCGTCCCATTCTTGTGGACAGGATTTCTCAAAAAGAATTTCCTCAAATTTGGCACAAATATTCACTTGGACTTCAGGACGAACTGATTAGATTTTGGTGCTCAAAGGTCAAGGTCACCATGACCTTGCATCCATCTCGCTCATGTGAAAGCAATATCTCAAAAGCACCTTGAGGAAATTTCTTCAGATTTGGCACAAATGTCCACTTGGATTTAATGATAAACGTATTAGATTTTGGTGGTCAAATGTCAAAGGTCAAGGTTACTGTGACCTCATCTGTCTCATTCTTGTGAGTGTAATATCTCAAGAACACCTTGAGGGAATTTCTTAAGATTCGGCACAAATGTTCACTTGGACTTATCAGTGTCTGACAGGATTAAATAATGAACTGATGACATTTTATATCCAAAAGGTCAAAGGTCGACTACATTGTGACATCATAATGTTCTGCATAAACCACTTTTCTGGCCATTATCTAACATCATAAGTGCTGTATCGTAGGCAACTGGACTTGCTTTAGTCTCTTGAAGACGTTTCAACTCTCATTCAGGAGGCTTCTTCAGTTCTAACAGACTGGTGCAGAGTCACAGGCTTTAAACCCCGTGTAAGTGTGAATCCTTACAGAGTCGTTGAGGTCACTTGTGACCTGAGTTTCAGAGTTGTTAAGGTCACATGTGAGTCGTTGACCCACCCTTTGACCACCAGTCCCTTATAAACTAAAGAGGTGTCTTGGATGAGAGGCGAAACGTCTTAAAGGGAAATTTCGGTTTATTTCAACCTGTCTCCTATCGTCCTAAATTTGTTTCAAGTGACTAGTGACGAAAAATAATAGTTAGCATGTTAGCCGTTAGCCTAGTTACAGCCGTAGCATCAGACCTGTTAAAACGTAAGTGAACGGGCAACCTTCAAGTGCAAAGTTAGTCCACTAAACAAGCTTTTTTTCCACAAAGACCGCCTCATATCATTAGGATAAATGTCAGAGAACATATAGAAAACGACATGTAAACGTGTTGTCTTACCTTACCGGTGTGCTGCCATGTTTGTTTACCATTTAGCTCTGCTTTCCAAAGTGCGGCCGAAATATCACGAGAACAAGCAGCGATCTCATAGCGTGCCTGAACAAGCAGCAACAGCTGGAAGGATACACTGACGAAGAGCTTCTGAAATTGAAGAACGGAGGAGGAGAGAGAGAGAGGCGCAACAGGTAGAGGACGAGAGAGGAGGAATGGCTGCTGCAAGGCTGCGTAGCTCTGGAGATTGGTGGTGTACCTGTGAATGCTGTGCCCCAGTGCCCACAGAAGAGGAATGCCTCTGTTGCAAGGAATGGGACCGGTTGCAGCCTTATTTTCAAGGTCTGGATGTGACCGAGGACGAGACACCTCCACCTGGAGTAGTATCCAGCTGGGCTTTATCTAGAGCTCGCGAGATATATTTCGGCCGCGCTTTGGAAAGCAGAGCTAGATGGTAAACAAACATGGCAGCACACCGGTAAGGTAAGACAACACGTTTACATGTCATTTTCTATATGTTCTCTGACATTTATCCTAACGATATGAGGCGGTCTTTGTGGAAAAAAAGCTTGTTTAGTGGACTAACTTTGCACTTGAAGGTTGCCCGTTCACTTACGTTTTTTACTACGCTACTATGCGCCCCGGCTGTATCTAGGCTAACGGCTAACATGCTAACTATTATTTTTCGTCACTAGTCACTTGAAACAAATTTAGGACGATAGGAGACAGGTTGAAATAAACAGAAATTTCCCTTTAAAGAAACTCAAGCAAGTCCAGGTGCCTGTAATGTAGCACTTGTGTTTACTATGACCTGGATGTCTGAGAATCGTCACCAACATTATTCAGCCTCATATCTCAGGAACAGAAAGGGAGACATTTTGTTAGACAGTGAATTGGTGACTCTCATCTTTGGTATCCACCTCGAAACTGTGCTGATTGTATAGATCCTCTGTGCTGCCGGGTTGAAGATGTACAAAGCATTCATGTTTTCACAGACATGGATGTAAACTGTAAAAGATACTTGACCGGTTTGTCGAAGCATAAAACTGCAGGACAGTAATTCTAGTTTGTGGAGCTGATTCTTGTGTGCGCACAGTGAGAGCAGAGAAGGAGAGAGAAACATGCTGCTGCCAGAGGAGCAGCTGACTGAGTTTACTCTGAGCAGCAAGTCGCTGAAAGGGTCTGAAAAGTTTTGGGGCTGTTCATAAAATATTCAGGACACCTAGGTCTAACGAAGCCATTGATTCCACATTACTGAACTCCCCTTTTTGTAACTTACCTCCTCCTCTGTGGAGCCGAGAGCAAGGTCCCTTTCAGCCATGCTTGTTGTTGCTGTGCGTAACAGTCTGTCATTACGTCAACAAGTTGGAATATTGCCATTCACAACATGAATATTTTTATCATATCAGAAAATTATACCGGTGTCATTATGAACAATAATTATTGTACACCCCTTTCACACCCCTTTCCTCTACATAACAGCATGAAACTTTCCTGTTCTGCTAAGTTCAATAAAGTTGTAAAATAAGACCTTTTAACTGGCACCACCCTCAAGACAAGCATTTTTTACTTGTTTTAGACTTGTTGCTGCTTTCTTTGTTTTTTGTGGTGTTTGCAGCCGTCTTCATCCCAGTCTTTATGGTCTGAGCTTGTTTTTTGTTCCCAGGGGAATCCAGACAGGAGGAGAATGAGGCGAGGGGAGACGGTGGAGGTCAGCAGCCCCTCTGCAAGCTTTGACGTCAGGCCCGGGCTGAGAGAGCAGCGGCCCCTGGGTCGCTGTCACACCCTGGACTCAGGAGAACAAACACTGGAGCTGCCGGTGCCCACACACACTCCCAACACGACGGAATACACTCCACATGAGGGTAATCAGACAGATGACACACACACTGAGAACACAGCAGGCGTTCAGATGTCCAGGGACGACTCAAAGGCCGAAACCACTGAAACACAGTCCGCTGATGAGTGTAGCACCGGCAGTGAGATCTCTCAATCGTCTGCCTCTAATGCACCGACTCAGGCTGATGATCCGTCTGAACCCAGTCCCACACACACCTCAACCACTTCCTCTGCTTCACATGATGGCACCGAGCCGCATGACACCAACAACATCCGCCCTCTGAACAGTGAGCCGGAGTTACCTGACGATCAGACTCGCACTGACACAGAGGCTTTGCAGTCAGAAAGCAAGGACGCAGACTCCAGCCCAACCTGCCCCACTGACCTCCACCCCACAGCCCCGACCGATGGAAGCGAACAGAGAGACGCTAACCAAACACCAGAGGGGAGCGCAGAGTCGGATCATTGAGGCTGCGCTTGAAACCGAGATGTTGGTGAGGAATCGTTCAGATAGATTATAGAGGAGCACAAAACAGACTTTTGGTTCCCTCGATGTAACACCAAAAATGAAAACAGGAAACACACATTTTCAGATCAGATGTGACAATGACTCTGTGACGAAGCTGATTTAAACTGTCGACGGAGAAAGTGCGCAGTAAAGTCACAGTTCTGGGGCCGACTTTGACTCCTACCAGCTGAAAACAGTTCTTTCAACAGTTTTAATTCTACAGAAACAATGCAGTAATAGAAAGTTGTAAGTGGTCAAAGGGTCGGTTCACCCAACTTATAGAACAATGTATTTTCTCCCTTATCTCTAGTGGTATCTGACCATGCAGATGGGTTTGGTTTGAGGGGTCAGGGTTGAACGTGAGTTGGGACGCTGCTCAGCTTTGGTGCAGTAGAGATATATCAGCCGTGGAATTTAATACCTTCATGTAAATTTCAGTTAACCAACTTACCAAAAGGAAAGAGAAAAGGAAATATAAAATGTGCAAATATGGGGAGCAAAGGAGAGGAAGGTGTGCATATGGACAGAAGGAGAGGTGAAATAAACAACTTTTATTTTGTGATTATTAGATGACTCAGCAGTGATGTATGTGCAACACTGCAGACTGGAGTCTCTGTGACTTAAAAGGTTTAAGGTTTAAAGGTAAAGGTTCGAAGTGGGGTTGTATGAGGCGCTAATCCATAGTCAGGAAATTACCTACGGTAGATGGTGGTCAGCACGACCACAGTCTGGAGAAACAGGCAAATTCCTGCTGTGGCCAAGGGCAGCCGCAAAACATATTCTAGCCACTTAAAAATCAGTTTAAGTGTACGCCATATTTAGAATATTTTACCACTTTACCTTCTTGTGACTCCTTTGACAAAAACAGTAAAGCTTTGGCGCAGGCCTCCCGAGCACGTATAGAGGCATTAATGCTCACACATTGTTTGCTGCAATGGGTGGCATACAAAGGAAGTACTCTGTGGACAAGCAAGACGTCAACAAGTCTTCACAGAAAACGTTACCGGAGAAGCAGGCTGCCTGGCAACAGCAGTGAACACCAATGTGCTGCCAAACATTGCATTTGTGTACTGCCATTATAACTGTTGCCTGCCTCCAAGTGGAAATTATTAGTCACAAAAATTCTGAGGTGCACATTCAAGCGCTGTGTCAGCTTTCGGAGCTTTCGCACGCAGACCCTGCGGCGAGTATAAACCCAGCTCAGTTTTATCTCTCCATACACTGGAGTTGCTAGTCTACCACTGCCTCGATCGGTTATTTTGTTTGCGTCGTTGTGTGACTTTGGTGAATCCGAACTAACCCTTTAAAACACCAAAGTAAAAACCAACCATAGAACCCACACAGCTGTGTCTGCAGGGGCAGGTCAGTGAGAAAATGTGTGTGTAATTTGGGTGTACTGACCCTTTAAAGTCACAATGAAATGTTAAAATGTAGGTTTCTGTGGTGCGTGACTCTCTTAAAGGTGACGTCGTCTCATAGCGGATGTGTTGAAATGTGATACAGCTCTGAGTTAACTGTCAAAATAAAATGTCAAGAGAGAGCTTGGGAGAAATTTAGGGAGTTGTTCTAAGGTCCACTGAAATCTTTTTGGGGCTTACGACAGCATCTTATTGTCAGGTGACTGCAAAACTTTTTCTTTTTCTTCTGTTAGATTATATATTTTGGAAAGCCATCACTTTTACTTCCTGCAGAGCAGCGCATCTTTAATCGTTAAACTAACTGTTGATCAGTTGATGTACAGAAAAAACCCATTTTGCACATTTCTGCCTCTGTTAATATATCAAACCTTTCTTTTCCTTTACTAACTGATTGATTCACAGGCATGTTTGTTAACTAGTAGAACAGAGTATCAATAAAAAACATCAAATGATAAATTGCACCCAAATTACCCAAAACAACTAGAAACATAAAAAAAATGTATAAATAACAAATTAGGGATTAAAGTGAACATTTAGGTTGAAAGGTCATTTCCTGCTTAGTGTCTCGTCTGAAATCTACCAAAATATCATTTCATTGTGACTTTAAACGATCAGACGTTGTTGGTGATGTTAACAGACTTTCTCCCAGTTGAATTTCTCCAGTCTGAAGAGGTCATCTGACTATGGAAGCCCATTTCTGCCAAAAAAGATACCGTATTCCATTATAATGACAAATGACTTGTCAAAAAAAGTGACATAGTATCACAAAATAATGGCAAAGTAACTCAAATACCTTTAGAAACTTACTCAAATCAATAACTGTAATGACACGGTATCTCAAAACAATGAGAAACTTTCTCAAAAATAATGACTTGGTAGCACAAATTCATGAGAAACTTCAAATTGATGACTTAGTATCTCGGTAAAATGAGAAACATTTTCAAAATAATGAGAATGTTTCTTAAAGTAATGACTAACTTATCTCAGAAAAATGACTTAATATTTAAATCTAACGACTTAGTATTTAGAAACCTTCTCAAATTTACTACAGCCCCCTCATCATTTATGCTCAAGAAAAGCAAAAAAAAAAAAAAATAAATAAATAAAGGAAATAATACATAATTAAATTAATTTGGGAATAAAAATGTGGAAAATAATAATTGAATAAAGTATTAAATGAAAAATGAATACATACATTTGAAATAAATAAAAAATAAATGGCAAAGTAAATAAATAGGGGTATAAATACAAAGGTATTTGGAGGCTAGTCAGCGGTGAAAGGAATGACTTATGTTGAAATAATATTTTAGTATCTAAAAATAAAGTTTCTCATTGTTTCCATATATTAAGTCATTATTTTAAGATACTGTTTTAAGGACGTTTCTCATCATGATTTACAGGATCTTTTCATCACAAGTTTAAATCATGTATTTTTCTTACTGGCCGAAATGGGCTTCTGTATCGGCCTCAGCAGCTGCTGTGTCTCCTCCTCCTCCTCATCCTCCTCCTCCTCTTCCTCATCTCACCTGAGTGTGAAGCACTTTCTTCTTCTAGCCTTCACAGAAAGAAAAAGGGATGCAAACTGACTGTTATTATTAGTTTGTATGATGATATGTGTGTCTTCAGTTTTGTTTTAAGCCTCTGGACTGTAGCTCTGATCCGACCACCAGACTTCACCTGAGGAAAGTGTTGTTTTACTTGAATAACTAGACGCTGTTAAAAATAGATTTACAGTGTGGTTGGTTTGCTTGTTTTCCCCGTTTAACATCACTTACATTTTTATCAGGATCATTTTATTTTATTAATAACCCTTGTTGATGGCAGTGTGTTGTGTGTTCAGAGAGTTTCAGCTCCTCCTGAATGATAGACTGTGTTTTCTCCACAGTTATAGAGCAGCTTAAAGGATCACACAGCTGGGTTTTATGTTTTTATCCTGTTGACTGCAAACCTTATGTTTTACATCACTGGCAACAATTTCAAAATCATACCAGCATGTTTTATATTTATTTTTTATTTTATAGACTTGAAACTTGCAGCAGATAGATGATCCATCGCAGTTTATTATTGTTTGTGAGAGTTATATTATCACTGCATTTTGATGGAGTTCAAGAGCCATTTACACATATACATTTGTTTATTTAAATTAACCAGGAACTTGCTTTACTGAGGTCAAAATTCTCTTTTACAGTAGTGTCGACTCCGGCAGCACACAGAACACATAGGTTACAAAATATGATAAAACATAGACCTAGGATTGTTTTGTTTTTAATTAATGTATTAAAAGATAAAAAATAACTGGCAGATTAATTGAAAATGAAAATGTTTTTTTAGTTGCAGCTCTCCTTAATGTCCTTAATATATTGCATATCAGTTAATTAATATCATTTCACATGATTTTGCACTTGCCATTTTATGAAATGATATTGAACAATATCATCAAAGATTCTGCATTTGTATAATTTAACGGGCTATTTTTGATTTTTAATTTTAATCTCATCCAAGTTTCAAGTCTCTGCAAGAAAGTACGGAGGATGGAAGCTGCAAAAATCAAAACTAAATAATTGAATTACTTGATAAATAAATGATCTAATCTTAATCAGAGTGGAAGCAAGGTATGTAGAGTTGATCTGTGCACTCTGATGTCAACCAAGAGATAGAAAGTTGACCCCATGACAGCGCCCTCATTTGCATAATTAAAAAGAAATGCATAAAGAAATCTATGAAAAACTTAACATAAATAAATTAGTTAGGGGATATATATTGGGGAAACATTTAAAGGGAAATAATGAAAAATTTTAATTTAAAAATGAATGCACACATTTAAAATGAATAAAAAATGAATGCAAATTAATGAGAAACCTCAAATTAGTGACTTAGTATCTCAAGACGATGAGAATATTCCTCAAATTCAAAACTTAAAACATGAGAGTTTCTTAAAATAAAACAATTAGAAACTTTCTCAAAAATAATGACTTAGTATCAGACATTAATGAGAAACTTCAAATTAATGACTTGGTATCTTGAAATAATGTAAAAATTTCTTAAAATGATGACTTACTTGTGTCAAAATAATGACTTAGTATTTTAAAGTAATGATGAACTTTCTCAAATTAATAACAGCCCCCTCATCATTTATGCTCAAGAAAAGCATAAAAACATTCATGAGGAAAATAATACAAAAATAAATTAGTTAGGGGATATAAATAGGGGGAAATACAAAAGGAAAATAATACATAAATAAATTATTAAATTTAAAAATACATACATTTAAAATGAATGAAAAATAAATGCAAATTAAATAAATCATTTAAAAAATAAATCTAAAAAATAAATACATAAAATTGGAAAAATAAATAGCAAAGTAATTAGGGGTATTATTAAAAGGGTAAATAAACAAAGAAGCAAATAAAAATGTATATTTATGCTACATTTTATCAACTAATTAATGCCTACATTTATTTTAATATATTTTGGTACATTTAGTCACATAATATATTTATTAAGTAATTATTTATTTTTGATTTTGGCAACTTCCGTCCTCCATAAAAATTTTTGCAATGTTATAAAAAAGAAATAAAACAACTGGCTGCAGGAAGATCAGTCTAAACAACAGAATGTATGATTTGGAAGTTGGTTAGCAGTGATGTAAAACAAAGTATTAATGAGAGAAATAAAACATGTAAAACCACCAGTTTGGTCCTTTAACATTAGAAGATATTTAATACAGATGCAGCATAATGAAGCAGCTGCAGTACTGTAGAACAGTCACCGTCAGTGTTACCGTTCACACTAATGTCACACGTTCACCTCCCATAGTCCACTTATTTTACTGAGTGTGTTTCAGTGCTGATGAAGCTCACTGGTTCACTTTGAACTGACCTCTCTGACTCTTTGTGTTTCACTGTTAACCGTCCGTTTGTTTCCAGCCCTCTGTCGATGTGTCTGCCGTTTTTTGGCCCGTCACAAACACAGAAACATTCACTGAGTCTCCAGCAAGGCGGCGTCTTTGTGTTTCAGTGTCTGATCTATGATGAAAGGATGTCAAACCCAATCAGAAGTCAAGTCTTAATTATTTTTGTACCACTGTTTTTATTTTCAGGTTTGAATGTTAAAATGATGTGAATGTGCCTTATTTAATTCACACCCAAATAACCAATAATAAACCATTGATCATTGAGACTTATTATATTTTTATCAATGGTGTTTTTTTTCACTGATGAAGCTGCAATAACATTTAACGTAAAGAGACTGACGTGTTGATAACGTATGTCTTTATTATGTAAATTCAGGATAGAAGCATAGAAATATGTACAGATAAATAGAGAAATGTAAAAATAAATAAATAATTAGAAGTATAGAAAAATAAAATAAGTTTTCAGTCTTTGCGTTAAGCTAACCATCTGCTAATGGTAGCTTCATATTCACCATATGGACAATACACTAATAAGCCAAAACATTAAAACCACTGGCAGGTGAAGTGAATAACATCTGCTCATCTTGTTACAGTGGGGTTGGGACTCGTTAGGATTTTAACGATTCCGATTCCTTACTGATTCCTACATTATATTCATTATACTTGCTATACTTAAACAAGTATATAATAAACACAAATGCAATCATACAAATACAAAAACTTTATTCTAACTGATGCACAGTACAATTAGATGAAAATACACATTTGTGTGTGGTGTGTATTTCAGATTTAGAGCTTGTATCATCTCCCTGAGAATATATAACAAAAAAAAGTGATTCTTTGATTTCTACAGTAACACTATTACCTCAAATTAACCACAGCAATGTCGTAAAAAATACTTACATGCATTCATGCTTGTTATTTAAGTAACAACACCTGAACAGAACACACACACACACATTGGCTGTTTGTTTCTACCGCTCCCCTCGCTGGAAGCCTCGGACCTCCAGCCGCCTGCTCCCGTCTCAAACATGGAGGTCACGGCCATAACAACTGTGTGACACAAACTCAGTGCTTTAGTAATTAGATAATGTCGGGCTCGGTCAGGTTCGGACAGAAATATGCGGCCCGTGAAGCACTCTAATGGAAATGAACGTGACGTTTTTTTATTTTTTTTTTTAACAATCTAGGAACCGTTTGCAGGAACCGTTACTCCAAATGTGATGGAACAAGTTTCGGAACCGGAACTTTGGGCCCGGTTCCAAAAAAGAACTTGATCCGGATTCCAACCCTAAGTGCAATGTTCTGCTGGGAAACTTTTGGCTCCCCTCCCAATGGCAACAATGCACCGCGATTGCAGTGGCCCCCCAAGCAAGACAATGCGCCATGCCTCACTACTAGTCAGGAGTGGCCCAAAGAACATGACAGAGCTCAATGCATCGACCTGGCTTCCAAATTCCCCAGATCCCAATCTGATTGAGTTTTCTTGGGACGTGCTGACCCCCGATTTACAGTGGGGCCTTTTTGGATCGGACTTGGCTCTGACATGTCCAGGCATGGACACAGGACCTCTGGGGGTGTGCTTTGGAGTCTGGCACCAGGACGTTGGCGGTGGATCCTTTGAGACCTGTTGATTATGAGGTGGGGTGCCGGCACGTCCAACGGATGCTCGATCAGACTGGGATCTGGGGAATTTGGAGGCCAGGTCGATGCCTTGCACTCTTTGTCATGTTCCTCAGGCCATTTCTGAGCATTGTTTGTGGTGAGGCATGGTTTATGTTCTGCTGGAGGGGAGGAGTGGAGTGTTATTGCCATGAGGAGGGGGACTTGGTCCGCAGCAGTGTTTGGATGAGTGAAAGGCTTCAAGTGGCATCCACGTGAATACCAGGACCAAAGGTTTTCCAGTAGAGCATGACATTGTAATGAGATGATCAGTATTGATCATGTAATCTGTGGTTTTAATGTTTTGACTGATCGGTGTATATTGGTTTTTGTTATCTAACTCTTAGCAAGATATTGACATCGGAACAACTGTAACGAATCATCAATAAAGTATATCTGATTCCGATAAACTGTATCTTTAACTCTTTACTTATTTCCTTTAAATCTTCCGAATAACTTGCAGGTATGTCGACCAAACCGCCAGAATAAATGTTAGCATTGTACATTTCTGCAAACCACAGATATGTTTACTTGACTTTGTTTCAATCTTAAACTTTATGTTGCAACAACCCTGTGAACTCCCTCACGGTAGGGAGTTCAAGTATCTCTGGGTTTTGTCCACGAGTGAGGGTAGAATGGAGCATGAGATGGATTGGCGGTTTGGTGCAGCCTCTGCAGGGATGTGGGCGCTGTGTCTGACCGTTGTGGTGAAGAGGGAGCTGAGCAGGAAGGCGAAGCTTTCAATTTACTGGTCCATCTACATCCCAACCCTCACCTATGGTCATGAGCTCATGGTAGTGACCGAAAGAATAAGAGTCGCAGATACAAGTGGCCGAAATGAGTTTCCTCCGTGGAAAGCATCAAGTGCTCTAAAATCTACTGGTAGACGGCCATGTTTACTTTGGACTTGATAAAACACAGTGGACCAACACCAGCAGATAACATGGCACCCCAAATCATCATTGGGCTTTATGCAACTTAGATTCTGTGCCTCTCTGTGGGTTACCCACCTGCGGAGGGTATCAGTGTCTTCTGGATAGCTGTAAAGTCAGCAGTCTTTCCCATGATTGTAGTCGTGTGTACTGAACCACACTGACAGATTAAAGGCTCAGGAAAAATATAAAAAGAATAAAGAAAATCAGTCTGTAAAACAGTATAGTTCATTATTGACAGCTTCATAAATACTCAGTTAGTGACAACGCAGAATGAGAAAACAAGCAAATGTTGAGAGAACTTTGTGCGTACACCACTTGATACTCTTAACCTTTTCACAGCTAAGCCTATTTTATAGGCCTCTGCTCGAAAATTGCATACCCATAATGAAATGAATATATCTCTGCAACCACAAGGTCTATTTGAATACTTGTGGTGTCAAGGTAAAGGGAACACTTGTGAGATTTGTTAAGATGTGTAAATATCAGTATGTGTTATATGAGTAAATGAAGATGGCACACAGCACAAATGAAACATTTTGAGGTTCGCCTTAAAAAAAGAAGCATTTTTAGGATGAGTATCCCTTTGGAATGATGCAGCAGCAGCTCTAAACCTCTATCACACCATAGTACAATATGTGAACGTTAACTCTGCAAAGGCTGATTCTGATAAAGTGAAGCAGAACAATATTAGAGAGGTTTTAGTACAGAAAATTCAGGCGAGCTCTCCAAAACTGCACCATGTTTGCATGTGATTTTTGTCATGTACAATCCTGTATCTTTCATTTGTTGTTTCTGTAAATCCCTACTGATGTTTAGGATATACACATACAACTGTCTGTTTCGTTTTTTTTCCTCTATTTCCCACTCCAAACTGACCAATACACACCTAGCTTTGGAGGCCCGTATCTCCGCAACAGCTTGGCACGTAATTGACACCTCGTTTGATTCATTAGAGCCAATAGAATGATGCTATACCAAAACCAAAACGAGATTGACAGCACTGTAAGCCAATCAGAGTCAGCAGAACACCTTGTCGGAGATGTTGTCGGCTGCTGTGAGTGGTCATTAGGTTTCAGCGATGCATCAACGTTGCCGCCATCTTGGGGAGGTCACTGTTGTGTATATATATATATTGGTCTAGCTTTTGATATTGTATTGTATTTTGTGCTCCAAGATTTTGTATTATTCTATTTTTTTAATTATATTTTGACTATTGGATGTATCACTGAGGTTGCATTTATGAATGATCCATATTTGTATTGTTTTTAACGTTATCTGAACCAGCTGGTTTCTGTTAAAAGGGACACACGCCCACAGGGGTCATCCCTTTGTTTCCCGGGTTCTATGTTCCCCACTTAACCCTACAAAAAAGGTTCTATGTTCCCCGCTTACACAAAAAGGGTTCTATGTTTCCCACTTGGTTGAGCGGGCAACATAGAACCCGGGAAACATAGAACCTTATTTGTGTAAGGGGAGAACATAGAACCTTTTTTGCAGGGTTAAGTGGGGAACATAGAACCCGGGAAACATAGATACGCTCCCCGCCCACAAACCATTTAACACTGAGGACGGCTATGAGCTGAAACGCGTCTGTTCGACTGCTGCTATGCAGTCCACTATATTAAAAAGTATTATACTTATTAGTGAGTGCTGTCGGGTTTTTCTGCTTCGCTGTAATTTTTTGGACCGGCACCCAATAACACTTTGAGACTTTTGAGTGAGCACGCCAAGTTTGCTGAAGACTTACCTCCATACACAACAGTAGCCTACTAGCCAGCCGACAGTGACCTCCCCAAGATGGCGGCGACGTTGACGCACAGTAGCCACAGGAATGAGTCATCTATGATTATATCTATGAGTTTTGTGTCTGACTTCATCCCGACTTGCTCTGACGTATTACAGAAGTGGAGATTTTAGAGATTAAGATTTAATTTGTCTTATTTGAAGGTTTATTCTGTGAACAGAAAACATGTTGTGTGACTGATGGTGAAGTTTAGTTGTCAGAGACTAAATACATTCATCATAAACTTTACAGAGTCTACTGTACTATATTAATATTGGACTTTTCTAATTATTGAAGTGTTTAGCAACACACAGACTGGTGGTCAGTGGGATGTGAGGATTCTTATAATAACGTGCACAGATGTGAAGCCCTGACTGTATCTGACTGATCTTTAATGAAAGCTGTTGTCTTTATTTTTCCTCTGAAAGTATGAACCTTATAGTCAAACATAGTTTATTCAGCCTGTGTAGTTGAGGTCAAACTGATATGATGCTGACTTACAGGAGAATTCATGTCAAATGGAGGTTAAACCATGAAGATAAACTACAGGTCACCTGTAAAGCATTTTAATAAATCAATCTATCATAATTAAAACAACTGGAGACTGAAAACAAACTGATATACAGGTCTGATCACTCTTTTAATGAACTGACATCATTCCAGACAGGATGTTAGTGTGTCTGTGACTTCCTGTACGGACTGAAGGCTGCTGGAAACAATAAGTTTTTTGTCACCGCCCCCCGCTGCGGCCATAGGCTGCGGCCGCCTGCTCTCGTCTATCTTTCCAGGCGAGAAAACCTTTGATCACACCGTCAATAATCAATAATGGACTCATTGTCTCACATGTGATGTCGTCATCGTGAGACTTGAAAAGATCCCGTTCGCGCCACATCATTGCTGTGCCACGGATGACGTCACGCCTCCTCAAACCTCTCCGGAACGCCCTTCTTTCAAAAATCCCAGGCGCGCTGTGATTGGCTGCTCGGGCACACGTGACCAACGGTCGCGGGAAGTCCTCTGCCACGCGCGTGATAGGAAGCGGAGCAGCTCGAGACTCATTCAGAGTTTGTTGTAAACATTGGTTCGGTTTTATTAACGGAAAGAAGACGGTAGATACCGGAACTGGACCGGAGCTGGTACTTTGTCTGTCTGTTGTTAGTTTAACAGAAGCGTCGGGACCTTATTGTTCCGGTAAATCCTGCTCTTACCGTGAGTTAGTCCGGAGCCATTTCACGGTGCTGAAGGGGCGTGTTGGAGTTACCCAAGTTTTTCCTGGGACGTTAACGGACCTTTAAGCGTCTCCGGTACTTTGTGGACTCTGTGTTTGAATCGGTACCTTTATTTTAAGGTAGTTAAAAGTTTAACGGCTCCGTGTTTAAGGTAAGAAACGATAGAACCGTAGCGGGGATCCAACCGCGTGATTTTCTCTTCGACGCCGCCGCCGGGGTTTAAATCGTGAACATGTCGGGCTTCAGTCGCCACCGACACGGATCAGACTCTCCCAAGACTTTACCGATCCGCCAGAAGCTCCAGTTCACCTCCAGCGACGGAGAGGACGAGCCCATCGAGGACGTGAATAACAGCACCGGAGGAGAGTCCGGTTTCACGGAGATGGACTCCCCGATGCCGGTGCGGCGGAGCCCCGTGGATAAACGCCTGGAGGGCGGCAGCAGCCCCCTGAACCAGTCCGGTGGGGACGACGACGTGGAGCTGTGGGACGAGGAGAGCTTCGGGTCCCCGTCTCACCTCCGTTCACCGACAAGCGTCCTTTTCGCCAACTGCTCCCCGTCACCGAGGAAAGCCTCCCGGCTGTACGGAGGATCACCGGAGCGCTCATACGTCCAGGACGACGGGGAAGGATCCAGCTCCCCGATCCCGGACTGTCCCGACACACCTCCGCACAAGACTTTCAGAAAACTGAGGCTGTTTGACACCCCGCACACCCCCAAGGTGAGTTCATACCTGTGCACAGTTACAGGTGAGCTGACATCATCAGAGGCTGTGATTTGTTTACGTGTTTGTAATCAATAGATTTAAACTTTATCAGATTAAATGGCCCTGAACAAACACCTGAACACACACTTTAACACGTCACTGTGAAATCACTTTGATTTTTGGGTCTAATCATGTAAAACAATGAACAAACTAAGAGACAGAAACAAACCAGGTCAGCAGTTTGAATCCTGGTCTGAACCGTGTCGGTTAAACACAGACCCACTTAATGTACAACTGTACTGTTGCATAATGCTCCTCTGTAGTCAAGACCAGGATCATCTGCTGACCCGATCCTGGTCCTGGTCTGTCTCTGGACATGTTTTTATTTCATCAGTGATTACTCAGCATCTGCTCCTCTGATCACACCATTTAAATCTCAGATAGATAGACAGATAGATACTGTAGACAGACAGGCAGCTTGACTTTATTGAACTCTAGTCAGGAGTTTCTCTGATCATTCATACATTTGCAAGGTGCAGTAAAAACACAGTGAAACACACACATCACACCAGAGGAGGAAAAAATATGTCAGCAGAAAAATGAACTTTAGCAGCTCTGTAAGAATAAGATCTGTAGAATATACAATATTAAGATTTACTAATTACACTAAAATATGTTGCTAAGAAAACAGACTACCTGTATAAACAAAGTATAAGACATAAAACAAGTGTGCAGATTTGTTAAAGTTTAAAGGCTGCAGTGTGAGAATGAGAGGTGTGTGTGTGAAATATTTCACAATATGTTATTTCAGAACTTCAGATCGTTGATTGTTTATTGACCATCTTTATGTGACATCACGCTGTTAGTCAGGTTGTAAATTCATGTTATACTCCACCAGCTGCTGTGGCTGATGGATTCCCAAATCTACCAGAAACTCAGTGGATTACTTTTGTTTGTTTGTTTGTTTTGGCTGGTGAGTGAATAAAACAGAACAGAGAGCCTTAGTCATTGAAGAAGTACGATGAAATTAGCAGCGCTAATTAATGCAGGTGAGAACAAGCACTCAATGAATGTGAAACTCAGATAAATACTAAGAAAGGATGGATTACCTTAAAAATGTGTATTGGTCTGCAAATCTACCCAATGCTCAACAGATACCTTTGTTTGTTTGTTGGGCGGGGGGGGTGAAGAGTGACTCAGCAGTATTTGGCTGCTGGTTGGTGCTAAATTCCTGGTATCTGGTCTGGTTTTTAAATCTTTACTCTTTTCTCTCTGCTGCTGCTTTCATGTTATAAATGCTAAACCTGTCGTCTTCTTCTCCTTCTCCTCCTCCTCCTCCTCCTCCTCCTCCTCCTCCAGAGTTTGTTGTCCAGGGCCCGGGGGTCGGGTCTGGGATCGTCCAGCAGGAGAGTCGCCCTCTTCAAGAATGTGGAGGCTTCAGGGAAGTTGCTCACAGACAGCGGCAGGAGACAGCAGACCCCTCTGGTCAACTTTAACCCCTTCACTCCCGACTCCCTCCTCATCCAGTCTGCCACCCAGCAGAGGAACAACAGGAAGAGGGCGCACTGGAACGAGTAGGTTTCCTGTCTTCAGTCCCAAAAATCTGCTGCACCTGAAACACCTGCAGGCTGCAGACATGTTTCCTAAATGTTGGAGGAGGGGGTGACGGGCTGCAGTCAGTGTTTTGGTGACATATTTTCTGTTTATGTGGCGTAGATTAACTTTATATCTGTGTCTGTGTTAATCAGTGCGGCGCTCAACAGGTTAACCTGATATCTGAAGCCTTTGTTTATTTTAACCAGATTCGTTACAGCCGTTGACTCAGATCTGGGGGTTTGGCTCTGAACCAAAACCTCATGGTTACTGGTGAACTCTGCCATGTGCTTGTGAGGCCCCTCAGTGCCGCCCCCTGCTGTACAGAATGTTAACCTACACCCTCTATTGTCCCCTGTGTCTCAGCTCCTGTGGAGAGGACATGGAGGCGAGTGACGGCGAGGCAGAGGAGGAAGTGCTGCCACCTTCAAAGGTAATTCAAATGCGTTACACACAGTGATTCACACATTAACAGTGAGGTTGATTTATTTTAAAGACACGTTTTACATTTTGCAGGAAGTTTGATCCCAAACTTTTTTTAGGGCTTCAACTAATCACATTTACTTTGTTTATTGATCTGCTGGTAGTTATTTCAGTGAGTTGATTATTAAGCCTGAAAATATCAGAAGAGAAATCCCTTCACACTGTCCTGTTACAGTAAACTTTATTTAAATACACAGAGTTTGGGATCTTAGACTTTCATCAGGTCTTGATAACATCTAAGGATCGAAACATTATATATCTAAATAAAGTTTATTGTAAGTAACAGGACAGTGTGCAGGATTTCTCTTCTCATGAGGTCTGCGTCCCACAGAGTGTTTGGCTTTAGCAGAAAGCAGTGGCAGGCAAAAAAGGCCCAGTGCTCTGAAAAAAGACGCTGGGCACGAGCTTTTTCTCAAGGTGGCCACGTACAGCCAAATTCACTCCTTCTGAAAAAAGCTGGCACTGAGAAAAAACTCAATGTGGACACAGACCTCACCTGTGGTCATTTTCCTCCTACACACCTGTCTGCAAGTTACTGAAGGCAGGAGCCTCCATGTTCTAAAACAGTACGAGGAAATAAGCGTCCCAGAGCTCGGGGTGACATTTGAAATAAAATAGTTGTTTTTATTGAACCAGCAGAATCTGCTGTGTGACGATGCAGGTTTTTACATACAAATAATTTCCTTTGGTGTTTTAGTGCATGGACAAGAAACATTAAAGAAATACAATTATAATATATGTTTTTAAAAAAATGAAAACTTGTAGTCACAACTGTTTAAAATGAAAGAGGGATGCAAATACCTTTACTGTAAAGAGAGACAAATTAAAAATAAATATATACTTTTAGTTTGAGCAAATAAACAACTTTTTCAGCTCGACTTTGTTTTGCAAATCAGAGAGTTATTACACAGTGATCGCTCCATATGCCTTCTGCTGTAGACTGATTTTAAAGCAGCTGAAGGAAACCTCTCAGAGGTTCAGAAGCAACAGTTTAAAAAGGTCAATGCTAATGTTGAACTCTGTCCTCAGAGGATCACCATGATGGAGAACAACATGATGTCCAGATACACCTCAGAGTTCCTGGAGCTGGAGAAGATCGGCTGTGGGGAGTTTGGTGCTGTGTTCAAGTGTGTGAAAAGACTCGACGGCTGCATCTACGCAATCAAGAGGTCGAAGAAACCTCTGGCAGGATCCGTAGACGAGTGAGTGGACCCCACGACAATCTGATAAACTTTTAGATCTTATTCTGAGAATGTGTTTCCTGAAGCACAGCGTCCAAAGTGTCCTCTGAGACATTGAAGGCACCATTTTAACTCCCAGACTCCCCCCAGACGTGTCTTTAATTAAAACGGTCTGTTCCCCTCCTCCGCAGACAGAACGCCCTGCGGGAGGTGTACGCCCACGCCGTGCTGGGCCAACATCCCCACGTGGTGCGATACTACTCTGCCTGGGCCGAGGACGACCACATGCTCATCCAGAATGAGTACTGCAACGGCGGCACGCTGTCTGACGTCATCGCAGAGAACTACAGACGCCTCAGTTACCTGTCGGAGCTGGAGCTCAAAGACCTGCTGCTGCAGGTCACACGAGGACTCAAGTACATCCACTCCATGTCTCTGGTCCACATGGACATCAAGCCCAGTGAGTCCCTCACATACTGGCCTCAGATTCTGACCCTGACTGAGGAGCATATACAGATCTGTGGTTGTAGTTTCACACCACATGAGATGCAGAGGTCTTTGTGTGAATGTTGTCTCATCAGAAACTAACGGACACGTCTCCGTCTTTGTCTCAGGCAACATCTTTATTTCACGGAAGTCTGTAACCAGCTGTGACGAGTGTGATGAGGACGAAGGACTGACCACCAGCGTTGTCTACAAAATAGGTGCGCTGCTTCTGCTCTGTTGTTCTGTGATAATTTGGTTTGCTATGTTCTTCTTTGCTGACGTTCTGAGTCTGTTGTGTTTGTGTCCCTCTCCAGGTGATCTTGGTCATGTGACACGAGTAAACAACCCCCAGGTGGAGGAAGGTGACAGCAGATACCTCGCCAATGAAGTTCTGCAGGAGGTTTGTTACTGTTCTTTAAAATCAGCTGCTTCTGTTGAATAATTAATAATAATAATAATAATAATAATAATAATAATAATAATAATAGTAATACATTTTATTTACAGTCGTTTTCATAGAACTCAAAGTCACTTTACATCAGTTAGAAACCATCATAAAATAATCACATTAATATTCACACATTTAAATACACACATTAAACACTATTTTGAAACGATGAGTTTTGAGGAGTGATTAATAAATAATAAAATAATAACTAGAGCTTGACAGACGTGTCATCATTCCTCCTGACTGCTCTGGTTTCTTCTCGTAGGACTACAGTAAGTTGACGAAGGCGGACATCTTTGCTCTGGCTCTGACAGTCGTCAGTGCCTCGGGGGCGGAGCCTCTTCCCACAAACGGAGACAAATGGCACGAGATCCGACAGGGAAAACTTCCCGCCATCCCACAAGTGCTCTCTCCAGAGTTCCTCAGTCTTCTCAAGGTAACACAGGACACGACAGACAGACACACAGACAGACAAACTCACTCCTTTCTTTATAGTCAGAAGTTATATTTGATCTATTCTCCTCCAGCTGATGATCCATCCTGATCCAAGTAGACGACCATCAACCTCTGACCTCATCAAACACCCGGTGCTCCTCACTGCTGCCAGAATGAGCGCCGACCAGCTGCGAGTGGAACTCAACGCAGAAAAGTTCAAGAATGCACTGCTGCAGAAGTAAGAGCTCAGTAACACTGAAAAAATAATTCAGATGGAGGGAATAAGCTGACGGGGTCTTAAAGTTAATAATACAGTCGTATGTGGTGTCTGAAGCTTCACTGTTCATCAACAAATAGTTTGATACAAGATCATTAGTTAAAATCAGGTTTTAGCAGAACGGCAGAAGATCAGTGGTTTTACTGTCTCACGTGTGGTTATTTTATGGTTCCTAACATGTAAACTGAATTTCTTTGACAAATAAAACATTTTTCCAGAGTTTGATAAACCAAATGGTTCATAAGAGGAAAATAATAGATAATGAAAATCATTAGTTACAGCTCTCGTTTTCTCCGTTAATTCTAATAATCTGAATATCTGTGTTTTTGACTGACGAGAAGACGCAGTGTGAAGACACCACCTCGTGCTTTTGGAGAATTAATTTGGGATTTTTTTTCCTCCAGTTTCACAGATCCAACAGTTGATAGAGAAAAATAATCTGCAGATTTGAGCTGCAAAGATTCAAATAATTGATTGGCAGAAAATTAACCTTAAACTATTTTGGTGATGAGTCATATTTTAAAAGATTAATACCAAAACTGTCAGGTTTAATTTTCTAGTCTGACTTTACTCTGTTTTATTACATCTCTGCACCGGCGACCACCGTGTTGTCCGTCCGTCCATCCCATCCCTGTGAACACGATATCTTAAAGAGTGCCTCTTTCTTTAAATTTAGCACAGACATTCACTTGGACTCAAAGATGAACTGTTTAGAATTCGGTGGTCAAAGGTCAGCGCGACCTCACCAAACCTGTTTCTGGCCATAACTGAAGAATTCAGACACTAATTATGACAAAACTTGACACAAATGTCTAACAGGATAAAATAATTAAGGGATGACAGTTTATATCCAAAAGGTCAACTAGTTTTGTCTTCTGCGACTGTAAACTGAAAATTTGGGGGTTTTGACCTTTGATTTGACATTTGAAGACGAAGAAAACATTTGTTTGAGGAGAAAATTATTTTATAATAAAAAGGTTCCTCAGTTTTCGTCCTGCTGTAGATTAATAGATGCAACTTTTTCCCCCGTTAAAGGTTTTTTTTTTGGGGGAGTTTGTCCTTATCTGCTGCGAGGGTCCAAATGACAGAGAGATGTCGTATGCTGTAAAGCCCTCTGAGGCAAATTGTGATTTGTGATATTGGGCTTTATAAATAGAATTGATTGATTGAACTTCAGTCAGACAAAGTGACTCAACTGTAACACCTTTGTCTTCCTCAGGGAGCTGAAGAAGGCCCAGCAGGCTCGAGCTGCAGCTGAGGAAAAGGTTTTGACCACCGACAGGATCCTGACCCGCTCCACGGTCCAGTCCAACCCCAGAACCTCCAGACTCATCGGCAAGAAGATGAACCGCTCGGTCAGCCTCACCATCTACTGAGACTCTAACCCATGCTGACAGGAAGTGACACAACAAGGCTCATGGACCTTTTGAATCCAAACCCGCTCAGATGGAGCGGTCTCTTCAGTTTGAGGAGAACCTGTCAGTGGGCGGAGCTGTAGAAGGTTGAACTCATCTTGATAGACTCTGGTTGCCAACATAGTTCAGCCCTTTTCTTCCTGATGGATTTCTGTCATTCCTGAAAGGTACTTCCTGTACCTTTTGTACATTCTGAAGGGTACTTCCTGTACCTTTGTACACTCTGAAGGGTACTTCCTGTACCTTTGTACACTCTGTCATTCCTCAAGTTTTTCGTATCCTTCAGGCTCTGTCTCCGTTTCTGTCCTTGCACTTCCCTTGATGAAGCTGCAGTGATGCTCTCTTCAGTGTGAATGTACTTGCCGTACGCACCTTACTGCCTGTCGAACGCCTGATGCTGGGTACCAGAGGGTCTGAGGACTGACAGTTTCTGTGTTTGGAGCACTTTGGAGGCAACAGCTGGAACTTGCCACATTTTTTTAAGAAAAAAAACTGCTGCTATTGATGTTTTGTGTGTTTATCAGGGTTCGGCCCGGTTCAGGTTGGATCATCTCCAGGTCACTGGCTCTTATGTTCAGTTAGCAGGAGTCCGTTTCCCTGTTTATTCTTTATTCTTCTGGTCAGATGGAGAATGGATCATGCTTTTTGAGGAACGTCATCCATTTTTGTTTTGAAGTACCAAAACCAGTGAGCTAATGAACTCGTTATCTGTGAGGTCACAATCTGTTGATTGGTGCAGCCAACCCTGCCTGTAGCATTAGAACAATCATCGTCCTGTTCTCTAGGTTCTCATGTCTTCTGTTTTTTCTCATGACGCTCATCTTTAATTACTGTTCAGAAAAGTTTCCCTCGTCTTTTTGTTCCTGTAACATCTAACACAAAACAGCCTCTGTGCTGTTGAAACCTGTACATATGTTCTTTTAATAAATTCTCACCATCTACACTCTGTCTTGTCTTCACTGTGATGAAACTTCACAAGATGGGAAATCTGTCAGTGGAAAGTATATCAGGAGCTTTAGTGACGTCACAATAAAATACAGTCGCACATCGGAAACATCACTTTAATCCGTTTTTATAGCAGTTTGGGTTCCAGTGATCCGAGTTAATGAAATCTATACCTGTATAATTCTCACAGAAAGTCATGTCTTAAGTGTAGCATGTCAAAATTTCAACAATGTCATAGTATAGTATGACTTCAAAATTTTATCAAGTGTCAGTGTAGCATATCATCAAAATTTCAATAAAAATATAGTATAGCTTGACGTCAGAATTTCATGAAAAATTTTATAGTATAGTATGTCGTCAAAATTTCATAAAAATGTCATAGTATAGTATGTTGTCAAAATTTCAAACTGTCATAGTATAGCTTGATGTCAAAATTTCATAGAAAATGTCATAATATAGGATGTCGTCAAAATTTAATAGAAAATGTCATAGTATCGTATGTTGTCAAAATTTCATAAAAAATGTCATAGTATAGTATGTCATCAAAATCTCATAAAAAATGTCATAGTATAGTATGATGTCAAAATCTCATAAAAATGTCATAGTATAGTATGATGTCAAAATTTCATAAAAAATGTCATAGTATAGTATGTCTTCAAAATTTTACAAAAAATGTCATAGTATAGTATGTCGTCAAAATTTAATAGAAAATGTCATAGTATAGTATGACGTCAAAATTTCGTAAAAATGTCATAGTATAGTATGAAGTCAAAATTTCATAAAAAATGTCATAGTATAGTATGTCGTCAAAATTTCATAAAAAATGTCATAGTATAGTATGTCATCAAAATTTCATGAAAATGTCATAGTATACTATGATGTCAAAATTTCATAAAAAAATGTCAGTATAGTATGACATCAAAATTTCATGAAAATGTCATAGTATACTATGATGTCAAAATTTCATAAAAAATGTCATAGTATAGTATGTCAAAATTTCATAAAAAATGTCATAGTATAGTATGACGTCAAAATTTCATGAAAAATGTCATAGTATAGTATGTTGTCAAAATTTCAAAAAAATGTCATAGTATAGTATGACGTCAAAATTTTTATAAAAAACGCCATAGTATAGTATGTCTTCAAAATTTCATGAAAAATGTCATAGTATGACGTCAAAATTTTATAAAAAATGTCATAGTATAGTATGTCATCAAAATTTCATGAAAAATGTCATAGTATAGTATGACATCAAAATTTCATAAAAAATGTCAGTGTAGTATGTCTTCAAAATTTTACAAAAAATGTCATAGTATAGTATGTCATCAAAATTTCATAAAAAATGTCATAGTATAGTATGTCATCAAAATTTAATAGAAAATGTCAGTATAGTATGACGTCAAAATTTCGTAAAATGTCATAGTATATAGTATGATGTCAAAATTTAATAAAAAATGTCATAGTATAGTATGTTGTCAAAATTTCATAAAAAATGTCATAGTATAATATGTCGTCAAAATTTCATGAAAATGTCATAGTATACTATGATGTCAAAATTTCATAAAAAATGTCATAGTATAGTATGATGTCAAAATTTCATAAAAAATGTCATAGTATAGTATGACGTCAAAATTTCATAAAAATGTCATAGTATAGTATGTTGTCAAAATTTCATGAAAAATGTCATAGTATAGTATGTCTTAAAAATTTAATAGAAAATGTCATAGTATAGTATGTCATCAAAATTTCATAAAAATGTCATAGTATAGTATGTCTTAAAAATTTCATGAAAAATGTCATGGTATAGTATGTCATCAAAATTTCGTAAAAAATGTCATAGTATAGTATGTCTTAAAAATTTCATGAAAAATGTCATAGTATAGTATGATGTCAAAATTTCATGAAAAATGTCATAGTATAGTATGTCGTCAAAATTTCATAAAAAATGCCAAAGTATAGTAAGTCAAAATTAAATAAAAAATGTCAGTGTAACATGTCATCAAAATTTCATTAAAGATGTCATAGTATAGCTTGACGTCAAAATTTAATAGAAAATGTCATAATATAGGATGTCCTCAAAATTTAATAGAAAATGTCATAGTATAGTATGTCTTCAAAAGTTTATAAAAAATGTCATAGTATAGTATGTCGTCAAAATTTCATGAAAAATGTCATAGTATAGTATGTCGTCAAAATTTCATAAAAAAAGTCATTGTATAGTATGTCTTCAAAATTTCATAAAAAATGTCATAGTATAGTATGACGTCAAAATTTCATAAAAAATGTCATAGTATAGTATGTTGTCAAAATTTCATAAAAAATGTCATAGTATAGTATGTCGTCAAAATTTATTAGAAAATGTCATAGTATAGTATGTCTTCAAAATTTTATAAAAAATGTCAGTATAGTATGTTTTCAAAATATTATAAAAAAAATGTCATAGTATAGTATGATGTCAAAATTTCATAAAAAATGTCATAGTATAGTATGTTGTCAAAATTTCATAAAAAATGTCATAGTATAGTATGTCATCAAAATTTAATAGAAAATGTCATAGTATAGTATGTATGTTGTCAAAATTTCATAAAAATGTCATAGTATAGTATGACGTCAAAATTTCGTAAAAATGTCAGTATAGTATGTCATCAAAATTTCATAAAAATGTCAGTATAGTATGTTGTCAAAATTTCATAAAAATGTCATAGTATAGTATGATGTCAAAATTTCGTAAAAATGTCATAGTATAGTATGTCGTCACAATCTCATGAAAAATGTCATTGTATAGTATGTTGTCAAAATTTCATGAAAAATGTCATAGTGTAGTATGTTGTCAAAACTTCATAAAAAATGTCATAGTATAGTATGTCGTCAAAATTTCATAAAAAATGTCGTATAGTATGACGTCAAAATTTCATAAAAAATGTCATAGTATAGTATGTTGTCAAAATTTCATAAAAAATGTCATAGTATAGTATGTTGTCAAAATTTCATAAAAAATGTCATAGTATAGTATGTCATCAAAATTTAATAGAAAATGTCATAGTATAGTATGTATGATGTCAAAATTTCATAAAAATGTCATAGTATAGTATGACGTCAAAATTTCGTAAAAATGTCAGTATAGTATGTCATCAAAATTTCATAAAAATGTCAGTATAGTATGTTGTCAAAATTTCATAAAAATGTCATAGTATAGTATGATGTCAAAATTTCGTAAAAATGTCATAGTATAGTATGACGTCAAAATTTCATAAAAATGTCAGTATAGTATGTTGTCAAAATTTCATAAAAATGTCATAGTATAGTATGATGTCAAAATTTCGTAAAAATGTCATAGTATAGTGTCGTCACAATCTCATGAAAAATGTCATTGTATACTATGTTGTCAAAATTTCATGAAAAATGTCATAGTGTAGTATGTTGTCAAAACTTCATAAAAAATGTCATAGTATAGTATGTCGTCAAAATTTCATAAAAAATGTCGTATAGTATGACGTCAAAATTTCATAAAAAATGTCATAGTATAGTATGTTGTCAAAATTTCATAAAAAATGTCATAGTATAGTATGTTGTCAAAATTTCATAAAAAAATGTCATAGTATAGTATGTCGTCAAAATTTCATAAAAAAATGTCATAGTATAGTATGATGTCAAAATTTCATAAAAAATGTCATAGTATAGTATGTCGTCAAAATTTCATAAAAAAATGTCGTATAGTATGACGTCAAAATTTCATAAAAAATGTCATAGTATAGTATGTCGTCAAAATTTCATTAAAAAAAAAGTCACAGTATAGTATGCTATTAGAAATACCATTAAAAATACCATAAACATGCCTAAAAAGACGAAATGAACAAAAAATCAGTCAGATTGGAATGTTATAAAAATGCTTGTTAAAAATCCAAAACCTAAAATATTGTCACAGATTAGTATACCATCGAAATGTCATAGTTATGTCAGCCATTAAAAATGTGCCATAAAGACACCGTAGTTTAGTTTAGTTTACAGCCTGTGGCCCTTTGCTGCATGTCACTCCCCCTGTCTCCCCCCCCCTCACACTTGCCTGTCCTGTCAATTAAAGGTTGAAAATGCCCCCAAAAAATATCTAAAAAAAGAAAATGCCAGTATGCTATAAAAATTCCATAGTGCTGTGTTTTATGATGTGAAAGGCATCATTGCATATTATGTCATAAAAAAAACATTAAAAAAGATGATTATCATATCACAGAATAAAATTTTGTGAAAATATATTTGTTAAATTTTATGGATTTCCCTCGTATTTAAAATGTTAACTTAAGTTCAAGTACTAATACCACACTGTACAAATACTCTGTTACAAATAAAGGCCCTGCATCAATACGTTACTTATGATAAAGTATGTAGAAGTGTAATAAGATAAATGTAATTCTATTAAAAGTAAAAGTGAGAGAAAACTGAGAGACCCCCATCACCATCATCACCATCATCATCATCATTATTCTTATGGTGTGTGGTTGTGTCGCTGAGCGGTGCTGCAGGTCTACAGTCAGAAACACGCACGAACACGCAGCAGCACGCGCACAGTGACAGCGGGTCATGTGACTTTTCCTCATCTCGTCCAGCAGAGTTGAGCCCGTCAGAGAGGAAGAAGAACAAGAAGAAGAAGAACAAGAAGAGTTAAAGACAGACGGATTAAAGAGGACAGGAGCTGAATCTGGACATCATGTCTCTGCGGGACGAATTGTTGAAATCCATCTGGCACGCGTTCACAGCTCTGGATGTGGACAAGAGCGGCAAAGTCTCCAAATCTCAGCTCAAGGTAACTTTAGTTTTATTCTTCTCTCAGTCTGAGTCGGTGTTTGGTCCAGCAGGAAACTGTCCCTCTGCTCTGGGAACTTTCTGGTTCATCGTTCATTGTTTTTGTTTTTTTTTCCTTGGTGTAAAAACAGCGCAGCTTGTGTTTGCGCACAAACTGCGGCACAGACGCACCTGCGTGTTCCCACACTGAAGAGAGGAAAACTACACATCTAAAGTACACACGGAGGAGCAATAAGAACCTGTCAGTCATTTCTGAAATATTATCATTTGATTTTTACATTAAAACCAGAAACATTTGTATGAAAACAGGAAACAGCAGCAGGAGCTGATTTAACTCAACAGGGTGAACAGCAGTGGGAAAAGTATTCAGATCATTTATTCGAGTACTGATACTCAACATGTTAGTGAGGAACAGAGATGTGAATATAATCTGGAAAATGTTCTTTAAAAAGCAGAAAAATGTCACTGAGTGTTTTACTGTGTAATCAGTGTTTAAGAAATGTCACAGATTACTAGTTACTTCATCAAAGTAAAGTAACGAGTTACATTTGATGACTTTACTGACAAAAACTTTCCAATGAAGCTGGAAAATGAAGAACACTGCAGCGTGGTGAACACATGTACAGAAACAGAACTAATGTTTTGTTCTTCATGTAAACTTTTTACTGAAACGAAAATATTCACGTTACTTATCTGTACTCACCAAAACTGTAACTGTAATTTAGTTATTTTTCTCAGTAACTGATTAAAATTACATTTATTTTGTCCCTGGAGGACAGCTGGGTTACAGCAAGTGAAAATACATAAAACGTTTACGTCACACAGACCAGAACACGTTTACGTCACACAGACCAGAACACGTTTACGTCACACAGACCAGAACATGTTTACGTCACACAGACCAGAACACGTTTACGTCACACAGACCAGAACACGTTTACATCACACAGACCAGAACACGTTTACGTCACACAGACCAGAACACGTTTACATCACACAGACCAGACGACATCCGAACACGTTGCCACTCTGTGACATATTTTGTGTGTTGAAAGAGGTGAAACTCCTGCATCAGAACAGCCGTTGTGTTGCTTACAACATATCCTCCAGAGAAACACATGAAATCACACGTTGTGTTGAAGAAGTGTTTTTTCTCTGATTGACAAAGTGTTTCCTGACGTGATGCAGAGACATGTTGAGCCAGACTGATGTGAAATAACTCAGATACAGTCATTTACACATGCACTTTGACAAAGATGTGATATGTAAGTTCGATCCTCCGTCCATAGTGACGGACGATGCCTCCTGAAACCTCTCTGTGCTCAGTCAGGTGAAACTCTGCTGACTGAAAACAGTCAGTCAGAGCGCCTCTGGTGATTAATTCAACTTTTAACTCTGAAGGCCAACAGTTTTCATCACTGCCAAAAATTGTTGGTTACAGCTTCTCAAATGTCCAAATGTTCAAATGTGGATATTTTTAACAGTGAGTTTGTCTGATATGATCATAAACTGAATATATCTGGGTTTTAGACTGTTGGTCGGACACGTTCAGGCACCTGGAGGCATCACTTTGGACTCTTTTGCTGTTTTCTGACGTTATAAATAAATGAGTCGTTGATTCACAGAGAAAATCTTCACTACATGAAGTGATCATTAAAATTATTGTTAGTTGCAGCTCGCTGTGTTCCAAACGTTGGGCTGTGGAGTGTGATGAGAGCGTTCAGGAGGCAGGGTGCATCCAGTGTTTTTGTGTCTTAATCTATGAAAAGGACATAACGTCTTGATTTTTTTAACCCCTGCTGCATCATGCGCTCTCAGGATCGACTTTATCCTCGATTTCTCGGAAAAGAATCAGTTCCTCAAACACAACACTTGCTTCTTCAGAGTCAGCAAGTTGTTTCAGTCTTTCGGAGAAAAAATAGAACATAAATTTTCACATCCTTATTCATTCATTGAATTCTCCTGAGGCCAATCAGAAACACAAATGGACAAAAGCTGATCACAGTTTATGGTGGCAACTTGTTTATTTATGATTTATAAAGTTTGTAGTTTGATACGACACAAATTTGACCAGTGTCAGCAACACTAACAAGATAAGACGCTGCTGCTGCTGATGAAGTTATTTGTTTGAGACTTTATCATCGCAGCGTTTCACACAGACCAACCAGGTGAGACAAAAGGGCGTTTCTAGTTTGGAGAACAGAGCAAGGAACATTTCTACAAAATGAACAAATCACAGTTTAGTTTTTGCTCAGCCGTGTTCAGGCGTCGAGATGATGTTTTAGACTTAAACGTTGACCTCTGACCCCCAGAGTTATACCACATTGAACAAATGCTGGATTGTTTGTAATTTAGTTTTTGCACAACGATGTTCAGGTATTGAAATGAACAGTTTATTACAACAGTAGCTATGTTTCCATCCAAAAGTGATTCAAATCATTGGGAAATGCGCATTAAAAGAAATACAAATCCTGTGTGTTTCCATTAAATGTACGGACTTTGGTGAAAACTACGAACTCACGCGAGTTTTCCGGAGAACCGGAAACAAAACAAGTCTCGCATATATCTTCTACGTTTTCTGGCAGTTGGCGACCAGCTTGTAAATGTATTACCGCCTTCCCGACCCGGAGTGTGGATATCACCATGGAGAGAGGTGCGCTACGTCAGACTTAATTCAAACATAACTGTTTCCATCCCCCGTTTTGTGAATCAACATTTTTTCAAATGAACCAAAACCCGGCGTATTTTAGTTTGTGTGAATCAGGGGATTTTAATTCGGATTTTGGTGTTTCCATCATAATTTTCCGATGCAATACTTCTAGATGCGCATCTAAACAGGCTGATGGAAACATGGCTACTGTGACTGTTAAATAAACCCTCTCTCTCCATATGTTCACAGACAATGTTTAGTTTTTTAGACTCATCAGACCCTTCTGATCCCAACGAGCTCTGAGAAATTAAAATGCAAACCAGACAAAAGCTGAAGGTCTCAGGAGATTAGAATATAATAACACTTTGACAAGTCATTAATTATTGGTTTCTCTTGTTCACCTAAAGACGTAGACATCTCCTCGAGCTCTGACAACTTGTGACGGGCATTTTTCTCTGTTTTATTTTTTTATGGACTAAACAGTAAGTGTATTAATTGAACTAACTGATGTGATATTAAACAGAAGATGTTTTTCTCCTCCATCGTTCCAGGTTCTGTCCCATAACTTATGTACAGTGATGAAGATCCCACACGACCCCGTGGCGCTGGAGGAGCACTTTAAAGACGATGACGAGGGTCCGGTCTCCAACCAGGGCTACATGCCATACCTCAACAAGTTCATCCTGGATAAGGTCAGACTGAGTCTCTCCACAGACACACACACTGAACACTGCTGCTGAAACACAGGTGATCCTTCAGACTGAGCTGAGGCAGGACGTGAGGTCTGTGGGTCTGATGATGATGATGATGATGATGATGATGGAGACATTATAGTCTCAGGGAAGGGTCAGATGTAACGTGGACAGAGTTGGTATTAATAACATATAGATGAGGACTGAAGGAGCTGGAGGAAGATGAGGAAGATGGTTCACACTCCTCAGTGACGGTTTATTGTCTGTGAGGTTTCTCAGTGTGACGGAGGAAACATGACGGTCTCTATAAGGACAATGAGACATTATCAGGAGGACAGAGACACAGACTGGACGGAGACACACAGTTGTGTCTCCGTCTTTTCATCCCCAAGTCCTTCGTCTTGCCCGTGATCTTTCGTCTGGTCATTTAGGGATTATGAAAACTTACCACCACATCCTGAGCTGTTTCTTCTCGCCAGGCTTAAAACTGATGCGGCCTGTTTTTTATTATCACGTGTGTTTCAGCCTGTTTCAGTGATGATGAGCTGTTTGAGCTGTAATCATGGATCGTGTGGGTCCATCTCCCAAAATGACGTCTGGACGTCAGTTCTGTCAGAGAAACCTGACAGGTGGGTGGAGACATACGGCCGCGGGGCAGTGATTCTAGTGGCTGCGTGTATTTTTCTTCCATATCGATCCTGTTTAAATGTGATTGATCGTGTGATGTCGCAGTGAATCCGTCTGTCAGACGCTGGTGTCACATCACAGAGGTCGTCTGATTGATGTGTCGTTAAACTCTGCTGAACTCAGACAGAAACACAGAACCTCTTATTACCCGCTGACTCAGCTCATTCAGCTGCCTCTGTCCCTCTGTGATGATGTCATAGCTGGTCGTTGAATAAGCGGATTGTTTCATGACAAGTGGAAAAAAGGCCCTGTGCTGTTATGATGTCATCAGCAGCGATGACCTCTGACAGAATTCCTGCTGGATGTTTGGAGTTCTTGTTGCCTGATGTCCTGACGATGGACAACCAGCAGTTGCTGAATGGCTGTTGCCGTGGCAACTACTTTGGAACTCTTTTGTGTCATCAGTGACTCTCCTGAAGGTTGGAGAACCTTTGACCTCTGATCGTGACCCTGTGTGTTTTTGAAATCAAACTTTTGACCTCTGTTCCACAAGCTGAACTTTCAGTCACTAAAACAGATTTTTTGAAAATCCAGGTTGCAGATTTTTCTAAACTCTGGTTACGTTGCGTCCATGTGGGCACGTCAAACCAAGTGTTTGGGAAGCAGTGACATCATCTCCTCAGTTCGCACATACCCTTAGTTTGTTTGTGAAATGAGTATGTGTCAGAAATAACAGCTTTGATGGCGAACTGTCGGTTTGTGACATTTGTTGTGTACGCCTTCGTCCGCACATTCGTCAGCATAGCGTCTGTTTCACCACAGCACCTCGGGCCGTTCAATAAAAAGGCATCAAGGATCTATAAAGAAATAATGAGCTACTTTTGTTTGATGTGTTAATCCTGCCAAAGGAGAATAAACTCACTGCACATGCTCAGACTCTTCTTCTCTGGTGTTTGACGTACTGTTGACACAAGACCTCAGACTGACCCTGTGAGGACGGAGATGTTTTGTAAAACAAAGGTTGTGTGGACATTTTATTTCATTCATTTAAACAAAGCAGGAAAATATGTGTTAAAAAAAAAAATACATGTGATCTCAAAAGTCTCAAATATATGTGTAGCCCCGCCCCCCTCCAGCTACACAGACATTTAAAATGGAGCCTCCTCAGCCTTAGAGATAGGGGGAGGAGTCAGAGCTGTGGACTTGTAGACTAGTGATGCCCGGGTCGGGTTTTTTTCCAATCCGCGGGTCCCGCATTTATGAAATAATTTGACCCACTCCATCCCGCTCGCACAACCGCATCTATTTTTACAACCCGCCCCCGCCGCTATTAACGTACCCGTCTTGTGGTTCTCATGCTTGTATAGCTTATCACAGGAATTGCACTTCACGCAGCCAATGCTGCTGTCGTCTGCTGAACTAACTACCTCACAGAAATTGTCCCAAACATGAGATTTAGCAGCTTGACCTTCTTTCCTTTTAACTCTGTACTCTCTCGACTGTAATCTTTCCCTCACTTCTTCTTCCATCTTCACCGCTTCATTGATTCTGGTTTGTTGTGGCTGCTGCTTGGCACTTGTGTGACGTCAGGTCGCAGGTTACGTTACGTACAGTAACATGCATTTACAAGTAGGCTATATCCGACATATTTAATCGTTAATGACCCACCCCACCCGCCCCGCCAATAAAGTGAACGCTTCTTGACCTGACCCAACCCGACCTGCGGGTAACCCGCGAGACCCACGGGTTACAGGTCAGCCAGCGCATCACTAGCGTAGACAGAGTCATGGACGTGTAGACAGAGTCGTCCTCTCTCAACACTTTTCATCTTAATCTTCAGTCCAGCAGTTCAGTCAGCTGTTGCGCCAGTGATAGCCATGGCCAAAGACATTATGTTTTGGGTTGTCCCTCCGTCTGTCCATACGTCTGTGCGTCCTATTGTTGTGAACACAATGGGCTCTAGTTTCCTGGCGCGGCGCAGGGTGGCGCAGGGTGGCAAACCCTGCGCAGAGCTAGTTTCGAGCAGCGCAACCAGAGGCACGCTCAGTTTGGTAGTTTGGCAGACCGAGATGCGCTGAGATGGGTGTGGCGGCACAGCAGGGGGAGGTGTCGACAGATCCAGCTTGGCGCAGTGACAGTTTCGTGCCAAAAGGCTTCACCGAAGGCACGCTAAAAGCTCACCAGCTGAAACCAGGTCTACTGTCAGCGCAGGCGGAGCACAGCTGGTGTAAGTGGAAGTTTGGCTGACCGGCGGACAGTGCGCACACGTCACCAAAACCTCACAGGCAGGTTTCCAGAATATCAGGCACATTAACAATAAAATAAATACCCACAAAAAACACTATTCAATGCAACTATCTGCAATCAGCAAATAAATGTATCTCTATATCGACTGTCCCGTCACATCAGATAATTAAGTAAACTCTCATTACGCCTTCGTGCGGCGCATTTAAGGGCGAGGAGAGGGGCTCATTTGATTGGTGTGATGTGTGTAAAACCCACTCCACACCTTCTCTCCTCCCTCTTTCCGGCTTGCGCAGATAGGAGGGACGGAGGTGGAAAAGAGAAGTAGCTGCGCCAGGCGCACGGTGTGCCAAATTTGCAAAATCCGCCTGGCCACACCCGGTTGGCGAAGCGCAGGTGCGCTGCACCTCTGCCTTGCTCAGTCTGCGAAACTAGAGGCCGATATCTCAAGTCAGCCTCTCGAGAATCTTCTCAAATTTGGCACTGATTTTAAACTTTTTTTTAATGGTTATTCCATGTTTGTGATTGTGAGTTAGACGGATCGGATCATTCTAGAAATGCAAAAAGAAATGATTCTGTTTATTTTTTTTTTTTTCTAATGAATTTATAGTTGAATTTTAAAATGTAAAGAGGTTTTAAAATTGAACCTGTTGTTGTTCTGTGTATCTGTGTGTCTGCCTGTTAGAGAGATACTTTATTAATCCAGAGGGAAATTAAGGACTTTATGTATATGACTTTATTATGCTCCGTGTCAGCAGCGTGTCTTTATGTATATGACTTTATTATGCTCCGTGTCAGCAGCGTGTCTCCTCTTCACGTCTCTACACTGAGTTATCTGAGCTGTTGTTCAGCTGCAGGTTGAAACTGATTTGTTTGTTTGTCTCATTGTTGACAGACGTCCTCTTCAGGAGCAGTTATTGTTTGTGGTGGTTTGAAGCTGCAGGTGGATTCAGTCTTTATTTAATGGAGTAATCTCACAAGTTAAAGTTTAACTCTGTCTGTGACCAGCTGGTTCAGTCCTGTCTCAGTGTTTGTGATGAATCTTTCCTCTCACACAGATCTAAACAGTGAGCTGTGTGAATCAAACATGCAGTGTTGACTTCTCCTCAGCGTCTTGTTGTCGTGGTCAGTGGTGGAACTTTTTACTCAGAAATTGTTCATCTGCCTTTTTTAAATATTGATGAACTCTCAGCTTCAGAGTTTCTTTGTTATGTTTGACGTGAGCTCCTGACTTCCTCGTTCTGGCTCTGGGCTCTGATGACATAATCAAAGAAAGTTGTGCGACGTGTTTAACTGCCTTGTTGCATCAGTTCTGAGTGTGTGTGTGTGTGTGTGTGTGTGTGTGAGACACAGTAACACACACTCAGTCAGCTCAGCACACACTGTGAGTGTATTTATTACAGTTACATGACTGTGGAGGAAACATCCTCCATGTTTCTGTGGAAATACTCTGGATACTAATAATACATTTGATTTATGTAGAACGTTTTTGGATACTTAGACACTTTACAGAGAAGAAGAAGAACAACAACAAAACAAAAGACAAAAACAAAACAAAAACAAAGATGAAATGATCCATAAGAGGGGAAACAAAGCAGAGAGGGAGAAGGACTTTTTTTTAAGGATGTTTTTAAGATGTGTGTTTTGAGGGATTTCCTGATTTCTAGATGTTTTATCCATCATTTTATAAACGTTCCCCCAAAAATGAAGCTCAGCAGATTTGGTATCTTTTTGAGATATGAAAACTTTGAGATTTGATCTAGAATTTAAATCAAAGTTTTGTTGGTTTGAGATAAACTCAGCAGCTCAGACTGAGTTTGTTTGTTCGCCCGAATCAACTCTATAACAAACACCTTTCTTTAAGGAAACTCTGGATTTAGGTTCAGGAAAAGAGTCGTGACGTCATGGGCAGGCATTCATACCCCCAACACACACACACACACACACACACACACACAACCACCCCACCCACCCATTGAAGTGGAGGTGACGGGAGCGAGGAGGGCGTCGGTCAGAACATTGAAAGCTCTCACTCCTGAGGAAACTCCACCCGCTCTCATGAGGAAACTGTGTGTGTGTGTGTGTGTGTGTGTGTGTGTTGAAACCAGAACGGGGACAGCAGGACAACA